ATAATGTTACATTTCTGATGTCTAATGTATGCATACCTGGGTTTGATGGCACTGCTTCCGTTACACGCAACAATATTTCTTGTGTCTCTAGGACAACATCCACTATTAACGGCAATGTAATATCTAAATGATAAGCAACATTAAAAAGGGTTGTATGAATTGAAAATACACCCAATGAGTTTTAAACAGAAATCAGAATGTTAAATTCCCCTTGACAATAAATGTCTCTTTGTGTTCCAGATATGAACGCCTATTGGTCAAACCCACGGGTCTCATGACACACGATTTTTCTCTATATGTCATTTCTCCACTAGCGATGCACCCCACCAGAGCCACGGTCACTCCACAAAAGTTTCATTTCGTAAAGTCAATCTTACATGAAACAACATGTAGTGGTCCTGTGTCATAAACCAATTGTTGAATAACTTAAATCCCACAACGGCCTGAACGAGCTCTTATCTACAGTATCATATCTGATCACATCATCAGTGCTAAACTAAACAGGCAATAAATGTTGAGATAATTGTAGCATACAGTTTTGATCACATGCTAGCCTCCCTGATCAACTCCCACAGCGTAAACGAAAATTAATGCTGGTGTGAACTCCACATCCGAACAGGCACAAGTCCTCCTGTACAGTGACTTTGAAGCCCATCACAAAAGGCTTGAGACAGCACCATTTCTCTCATTAATCTCCCAATAGAGAAAATGAACAGACTGACTGGGCCTGACATTTTCTGTTCTCTCGTAAAGAGAAGCACAGAAGAGCTTAGAATGAAACTCCACACATTATGAAAGCTATTATTTTCATCTGCCAGTCACTGTGAGAGAGAGAGAAAGCTGGTAATCCAAAATTAATAAATTAATAGGCAGAATGAGAGGTGCAAGAAGTAGGGGACTGGGTCACATCATGTCGGTCTGCCTCTCTCTCTCTCAATTACTGACAGACAGCTAAGAATATGAAATAAGACTAAGGAATGAAAAATATTCATATTTTCTCTGAATGGTATTAAAACCCGACAAAGTAAAAGAAAATGGATGGTGCCTTCATTTTTGACAATATATCAAATCTGACAAGATATTAAACTCATCTCATAACACAGACTGTCCAAATCACTGCCAAGACAAAATAGGATCTTCTCATCTCAAGCTACAAAAAAAACAAAAGATTTATTACTAAAACCACACAAATGGGCATTTTCAGAGTGACTGTTCCGATCCCTTCCTTTCATCAAATTAGCAGGCAAACAGCATAGCATGATGATTATAGCAAGCATTCATCCTCAGTCACTAAACCTGTGACATAACTCAGACTACTTGATCTGCAAAGAAACAGAGTCAATGAATACAGACAACCCGGGGCTGAGCACAGACAGCTGAGGAGAACAGTACAACCAAGGGAGTAGACAGACTAACAACAGGAACCAGGAGAGGAGGACGATCAGGACGGACAAGGGAACAGTCAAGCTAACCAGGCGGATAGGTGAACAAAAAATGTGATCCACAGCAGAGGAAACTGTCAGTGTGAAAAACAAAAATACGTCTAATACATACCACAAAGTCTGTTACGGGGTATGCACATTAGGTATACCAGTACATAAAGGTAGGTAAAGTAAGGTACAGTTACGTGATTTAGGTATGGTAGTTAACAGGGGTGCCGCTAGCAGTTTTGGGCCCTATGAAAAAATTTGAAGTTGGGCCCTCTACCTCACCCATCTGTGGGCCCCCAAAGTTCGTGGGCCCTTAGAATCGTCCTAACT